GATCGTATTCAAATCAGCAACTCTAACAGAAAGGAAAAAGCCATTCCACCTTCCTTTTACCTTGACAATGCCGCCCGTGTACTGAGCCACAGACCTGTCCACCTCCTTGGTCTGTGCACTACCCCACACTGGCTCCACTCCAAGCAGATATTTCTTTGCACACTCCACCAACTGCTCGTGCTCAATTCCCACCCCTGCCAGCACCATCCTGTCCGGCGTGTAGTAATTGCTCAGGTATGAGTGCAGGACTTTCTGATCAATTTTGTCAGTGTTTTCCACTGGGCAGAACCTCTTCAGTCCAACAGTATTTTCTCTGTAGGCTGCCTAAAAGGAAACAGATACACCGAAGTAGCAAATATTAGTTCACTGCCTCAATCTACGCCTTTTGTTTGAAACTTAGGACAGACTGAGCACTATTTCAGTAACGTTAGGATAAATCAGCATCTCAGCAAAGGTAATGTATGGTCACTACTAAACTACTAACTCAGTTTAAAATCTTTCCTGTATAAATGTAGAGCTACAAAATGCAGAGGCAGTAAAATTCTCCCTCATCTGAGTAACACAAAAATCTGTTTTCAAAAGTCTAAAATTAACCCTGAACTCAGGGGAAACTGAGGAAGAGGATGCAGCACGTCTCACACAGGGTGCTGCACACAGGACAGACTTCTCAGTGTTTTACCGCATGGATCATTTCTGTGAGGAGAGGCTCTGGATCAGGTCTCATGTTCAAGTCCTCGAGCTCAAACCGTACAGCCATTCGAGTCATCTCAATTTCTTCATCTATAATAAGAGAGAAAGCCAGAGATAACAACTGCCAGGCAAGATACTCATTTGCTGCACGAGAACTCTTAAACTTCATGATTTAATGGAGAATTCTGAAGTCGTGCTTTGGGATTCCTGTTCTGAGGCAGATATTATGTTCCCAAACCTGATAACCTGGGCTGCAGGGCTACATCTGCCAGCAAGTTGACCACTGTGTCCAAGCCTTTGGCATCAGCAGAAACAGCATACATGATGGTGTCCCTGCAAGGCAAGCAGAGGGGTGCTGCATGCAAATCACATTCACTCAGTAACGGTGCTTTAGGGCATTTAGCAGCAGCTAAAGATGCTTGCCCACAACTCAATAAATGCTTTGAAAAGGCAACACTACAGGCTTTTATTATCCCACCAGTTCACTTTTGGGATTTCATAGCAGATGCCACAAGCAGGATTCTGCTGCTCAGAAGAATAATGCAACTTTTACTCTCACAGTGACAGTGACTGTCAGTCACCTCAACGAGAACAGAGGAAATCCCTCGTACCTTGAAGCCTGGCAGTCACAGATGCCTCCATGCTTTTCTAAGGTGAGAAGAATTTCATCTTTGCTGCTGAACTGCGCTGTGGACTAAGAATGAAGATCATCAGTGTCACAAAGCAGCAGAGTGACAACAATTTATAACCCCTCCCTGCAACCCACAACCGGCATCTCCTGCTGCAGCACTGCAGCCTCCCTTCTAAGTTCTTTAAGTCAAACCGTTTGCTAAATCCTAAATCCAGAGATGTGAGCACCGCAGGCTTTAGAGAGCGCCAGGATCCATTCGTACAGACCGAACCACGCCGCCGCCGCTCTGCCCAGCCCTGCACACAGAGCAGACCCCGCGCCACTTACAGAGAACGCCAGCTTCTCCAGGAAGTGCGCGATGCCGCTCAGGTACTTCGCTTCGTGCCGCGATCCGGAGTTGATGAGGACTGGCGGCAGAAAGCACGAGGTGAGCGCGCTGCCGGCCCCGCCAAAGGCTCGGCGCCCCGCCCGCTCCCGACACTCACGGCCCACGGTGCAGAACTGCCCGAATTTGTTCTGGGAGGCGACGCGCAGCCCGTTCTCCAGCACCGTCACCCGCGTCTCGAAGCGCTCCCGGCCCTCGGCCGCCGCGAACACGGCTTTGGGCACGCCGGGCAGCGGGCACGTCAGCGACACGTTGGGGTAGGAGCCGCCTCCGCTGTAGCTCCGGGCGGCCGCCAGCCCGCACCTACGAGACAGCCACAGCCGCCGTTGGGGGAGGGGCCGCCGTTACCGAGAATAACGAGCTCCTCCCCAACCCCGAGGCTCACCGCCGGGCCGGGCCCCACGCTCCGCGCCGCAGCCACGCCACGGCGGCCGCCATCTTGCCGCGCTCCGGAACCTCGCTTCCGGCCGGCGCCGGGTCACGTGAGAGCCGCGCGGCGTGCGGGCGGGGAAGGGGCGCGTCGGGCTGCCCGGATTGGCCGGAGCGCCGCGGGGGGGCGGGGCGAGGAGCGCCGAGCGATGGCGGCGGCGGAGCCTCCCGCGGCCGAGCCCAACCCGTTCTCCTTCCGCGAGTTCGTGCGGAGCAAAGCCCGCAGCGCCGAGGAGCCCGGCCTCCTCGGCCCCCGCCCCGCTTCCCCTCCTCAGGCGGGTCTGCCCGGCCCCTTCCTCGGCTCCCTGCCGCTGCCCGGCCCGGCGCCTCCCGCCGAGGCGGAGGAGGACGGGGATGAGGCGGGGTGGAGCGGCTGTTACCGGCCTGCGGCTGCCGAGCGGGAGCACCGCGCCGTGAGCCGCTGCGAGGGCGGCGGGACGGGCGCTGCTCCGAGAGAGCGCTGCTACGAGGAGGTGAGCGGGGACGGACGGACAAACGGACGGAGAACCGCTGCGATGGGATGCGCGGTGTGGGAGGGAAAGGCTGCCCCAAAAACGGGGCGTTGAAGAAAGCTGCCGGGCACCGGCGGTAATCCCGCTCTCTCGTGTCTCCCCGTCCCGCCCTCGGGGTGTTCGCGGGGCCGTTAAGCCGCTCTCTCGTCCCTAAGAAGGATTTCTTTCTTTTCTCTTTTAGCTGAAAGCAGAGAACGCCGCGCTGAGGAGGAGGATCCGGGAGCTGCAGGAGATCTCTGGAACTCAGGCAGACGTGTGAGTGAGGCACAGCGTGGGGAAAGGGGAGGAGGAAATGCATTGTCTGTCTCAGCGTGCTCCCTAGAAACAGAGAAAAGCTTTGTAGAAGAGAAGTGAACTCTGTTCTGTTTGTTAAAAAGCTTTACCACAGAAACACCAAGGTTGGAAAAGACCTACGAGATCATCAGTCCAACCATCCACCCATCACCAATAGCTCTCACCTAACCACGTCCCTCAGCACAACGTCCAAACGTTCCTTGACCACCTCCAGGGTCAGTGACTCCACCACCTCCCTGTGCAGCCCATCCCAGTGCCTGACCACTCTTTCAGAGAAGGATCTGATCTGATTTATCAGATCTGTTTTTCTTATTGGTAAATGCATGGGGAGGTAAAGTCTTGTGAGTGCATTTAGGCTTCACACAGATTAAGTTGTGAAAGTAGTGGGTAAGATTCCACAGGAGGCAATCTCTCTCCTTAAAGCAAGAAGAGCATTTTAATTTTGGTGGGTGATTTAATGTCTTGATGTTGGGAGACATTAAATTCCTGAGGTTGAACAACTGACTGATCCATGGTAGTGATTTCTCATTGCTGTGCTGCTCCTCGCCATGAGGCAGCTGCTGCTCCCGTGGTGATGGGGTGACTGTTTCAGAATGCTCCAGATTGACTGTGAACAGACACGTTTTCTGTACAGTTGTGCTGTGTTCAGCTGTTTCCATTGGTGCTTGTGGATGATGAATGCAAAAATCCCTTGAGCTGCAGCCTACAAAGGCAGTTCTGTGCGATGCCTTAATTTTTTGTTATTATGTGAAAGAATAGAGTTTCTCAATTCTTCCTCTAGAATTTTCTTGTGGTTAATTTGCTGAGTACTATTTTCTGCCTTATTTTAAGGCTGAGAAAGCTTGAAAGAAAGCTCGAGGAAAACAAGATTAAAGAAGAGAAGGAAGCTCAGGACTTGGAAGCAATGGTGCAACACGTGGAACAGAATCTCCAGCTGATGACTGTAAGTGCTGCCATCCCCATCTCATACAGCATTCGGAGCAAAGGTGCTACAACACAAACCAAATCACTTCCAGTGATAGCACCGAGCCTTCCAACATCTCACACTCATCCTTCATTCTTTCAGAAACGGGCTGTTAAGGCAGAAAACAACGCTACAAAACTGAAACAGGAAAATGCATTACTTCAGGTACAAAGCAGTGATATTCTTAAGGCCTCCCACTGCCTGCTGCACCTCACTGAGTGCTGTGAGTTCTGTGTTATATTTTAGTTATCAAGGGGTTTGTTTCCCTTCCAAGGTTCAGCTGAAGAATTACAAACTGGAGAATGAAGCTCTGAGGTCGGGGCAGTCAGCAAGCCTGGCTGTGGTGAGACAAAACGCAGACACAGCCTTACAGAACCTCCTGACTGTTATCACAAACTCTCGATCTTCAATAAAGTAAGTTGTTTCCAAACGCTCTGCTGGCACTACCTCAGGTGATAGCAGCAAAAGTATAAACATCCCCGCTAGGGGGACTGGAAGTTGGGTTCTTTATTATGCATTGCAGGTCAGTCCCTGTTCTCACTTAGTCGCAATGTGTTTTCTTCCAGAAAACAGCACCTGTGTGCTTTATCCTCTCCAGCCTGACGCTGTGTTTCTCTCACCCAGGCAGCTGGTCTCTGGAGCAGAATCACTGCAGCTCGTCGCCGATCTCCTTAAATCCATAGACAGAATTTCTGAGGTGTCTGAAGATGGACAGTGAAACCAAGCAGGGACTCCCGGGCAGAGCTCAGCGCAGAGCTCCTTGCCGAGCGCCGTGAGTGCTGCTGCAGGAGCAGCTCCTCCATCCCTGCGGGTGGCTGAGGTTGGAGCCGGCACAGGGCGGGACCGACCCACAAAGGGCAACGCTCAGCCAACAGCGAGCGGGATCACGGCGCCCTGCTGCTCCGGAGTGCGCTGACAGGGCTGGCGGGAACGCCCAGCCTCACCCGGGAGCGGGCTGCCGCGCTGCTCGGTGCGCCGCAGGGCCGGGCGCTGCCCGCCGTGTAACGGAGCGATTAAAGGCGGAGGCGACTCGCGGGTCGCGGTCTTGGCGAAGCTGTGCTCCCATTGGTTGTCTGGTGTCACGTGCTCTGGGCTCAGCTGACCGGGGACCCCCGCGGCGATTGGTCGACGGGCGGAGGGGGGCGGGGCTTCGGCGGCACGGTTCGCGTCGCGCCTTGGGGCTGCGGCGGTGCCGCCATGTCCCGGCGGAGCGGCCCGGCCGGGGCCGAGCTGAACGCGGAACGGGAGAAAATCCGCCGCGAGATCGAGGAGCTGGAGCGCAGCCTGCGGCTCGACGTGACCGGCGGAGATGTGGCCGTGTCGGACTCCAGCCTCAGCTCGGGTACTCGGGGCGCGGCTCTCCCTGCGGGCCCGGCGGGGGGGCGGGGCTCCGTCTGCCCCTAAGGCGCCTCGGTCGGCGGGCGCTGCTCCGCTCTGCTCTGCTCTGCTCTGCTCTGCTCCTCTGCACGGCTTCGGCCCGGCGCTGCTGCAGGGCTGCTCGCAGGGCGCGCTTTGCCGGGATGCTTTGCCGGGATGCTCGCCTGGCTGCGCGCTCTGCCGCCGCAGCGAGATGCGGCTCTTTTGTTGCTGCGTTTATCCGGAGCTGTTTTACTTGAAAACGAAAACCAAGAGTGTGCGTGGTGTAAAACTAAACGTTCTTACTCAGCGGTAACGGCAGTACGCGGAAACCCCTCGTAGCTGTGTGCGAGATGCCCGGCCGTGCTTTGTTCTGCGTGTTCTAATTGAAAAGCCCTCGGTTTGAAGCTTTTTCTTTGCTGCCATTTGATGTCTTTGTATTTTTGTGGTCCAACAGACGATGCTGAAGGTGACAGCTCAGATGTCCAAGCAGAAATGGTAACTGTTTAAGTGTATCTTTGTGTTTGCCTGGTGAAGGGAGCAGGAAGAAAGGGGGGATCTCACATCGTTCTCAGGAAGTTGGGGGCAGCTGTTTTTAACGTGGAGAATTGCTTCAGTAGAACTAATAAAGTAGAAATCTGAAGGGATGGTCCTGAGCTGTGTACTTAGCAAGCAAGGGGACTCCAATGTAAATATAAGAGTTCTGCAGTTTACTTGCAGCTCTGCAGCTGCTGGCAGCAGAATGGGTTTTACCAGGGCTGGCAGTCAGACGTGGAGTTGGACAGCAGGCTGAGCTGATGGGCAGGGAAGGGAGCTGGGCAGGGCTGGTAATTGCAGCTGCCTTTGGGAGCACTCAGAGCAGCTGTCAGGGAGAGAGTTCTGTGCTTCCAGCTCTTTTGGAAATCACTTTTCAACACAATGCCAGTATTTGCTTTTAAGAGCAAGCATTCCCTTTCCTGTACCCTTAACCCCTAAAATGCCTTGTTTTCCTCAAGGAAGTGGAAAGAGAAGAGGACAGTAGTGATGATGATCTTGAAAGCAGTCTGCTGGAAGATCCAGAAACGTGTCTGCAGATGAATTATGTGTATCAGGAAGTTATCCAGGAAAAGATCGAGGAAGTAGAGCTTCTGATTGCACAAAACAAAGAGCAGCAGGTGAGCAGAACAGATGTAGAACAATCCTGTGCTTTTCAGAGTTACCTTTTGCTTTCATCCTTTGTCTGTCAACCACAGTAAAACTTCCTAGGATGTTTTTAATGTATGAGAGGTACCAGTGCAGGGATCAGCTGCAGCAGTAATGGCCCTTACTTATTTGCTGGTGTAGCATTCATCTTGCTTGTCTGGGAACCGGGATACAGAGGTTCATGTGTCAGTTCAAACCAGTGTCACCTGAATGCTGACCTTGGGAAGGGCTTGTTTTTGTGCAGTTTCCATGATTTCCTATCACCAAAAAGTGCTGTCACTAGAATATATAACATCTCATACTTTAGCTTATTGTAGCAAGTCAGTGTGTGTGTGGGTATTTATATATTTGCATTTCTCATCTCCATTGCACTACACAGATGTGTGAGGATCCAAACCTTATCTTTGGTAGGTGCACTGATGTGCAGTTTGGTGCAGCAGATGATTTGAATGACTCATCTGCTGTTCCCTGAAATTAGACAATTCAGAGGAGATACTGACATTGTTTAATTCTTCTATTGCAGAAGGAAATCTTGTGTGAGCTTGATGGCAGAAAAACAGCAAAGACAGGAGATGGTAGAAATTTACCATCAAACATATTTCTGGGCCATTTTATGAAGCCATACTTTAAGGACAAGACAACAGGAATAGTAAGTAAATAGGACTGGCTTACATATTGATTTTTTTCTTTCAGTGATACATTTAAATTGTAACTGTACTATAGCTGTGTTCTATTCTAACTGTGAATGTCACTCCTGAGCTTACAGTCTTTTTATTCCTCACATGTTGCTTGCTTACCCTCTTCTGGTAATATTTGTCCAACCTCTGTCTGGCTGTGACATCTGAGAGTTCTGAACAGGGGCATTCCAGCCATGGGGCAATTGAACATTCTTTTTATTTTCAACTTAATTGTGATCATGCTTCTTCATCTCCACGATCCAATTCCACTTTGTTTAATGTTCTTGTTGTCTTTGTTTTCTGATGTAAAGGTGACTGAACAGTGTTAGTGTGACAATCTGCACACAGTTGGGTTATCAGTCTCTTTGGTAGCAGCTCATGGTGGAGTTCCAAGGAGAATAAACAAGTTTTCCGTGTACCCATTTTCATCTTTATTAGGGCCCTCCTTCCAATGAAGATGCTAAGGAAAAGGCAGCTCAGGGCATAAAATCTTTTGAACAACTGCTGTCAACAAAATGTAAGTAACTGTATGGGCTGTTCAGTGTTCTACAGGAAATATAATGTATATAATCATCTTATCTATTCCCCCATATCTGTATTTAAACATCAATAGTTACAGTACTTCATACTTGAATTCACAGGAAGAGTACTTCAGAGTAAATGGGAATTTATGCATTTATTCACTGAAGGATTAATGACTTCCTTCCTTCTTTCATTTGCATTTGTTTTGATGCACCATTCCACGTCTCCCATGAGTGCTCCAAAACCAGATGAGATTGTGCAAGGGGGGTCCTCAGATGAGAGAAGAGATGCTTAGAGCTCCAGGCGTTACATCCATCTGGGTGGTGGTTTTGTTGAGGTTTCTTTGGAGGTAAAACTGAGCAGAGGTTGCAAGCTGCACAGCTCAGACATGGCATTAGTGGTTTAGGTGGGCAGCAGAATCAATTTACCTGGCTTCTTATAGGCCCTCTGCAGAACAAAATTGTGTAGGTAATGGAAAAGAACTCCTACTAAAGATGTGGGGAATGCTCTGGCAATGGTTTTGCACTAATGACTGTATGCTTGATTATTTTTGTTTTGCCCAGGGAAAAGCAAAGAGAAGGTGTTACTGCAGAAGTCAGTTGTAAGCGACCGCTTGCAGCGCCTGCTACAGCCCAAGCTGCTGAAGTACGTACTGTGCAGTCTTGTGAGAGCATGACAAGTGGATCTTCCATCTTCCTTCAGCGAGTTCTCATGTTAATTCATTGCAATGTCAGTAGGGTTACAAAGCACAGCACGGATGCTTTAGAATTATAGAATTGTTCTGGTTGGAAAAGACCTTCCTTTGTCACTGGGAGACCTGCTTAGTATCCCCAGGTCGCCTATCCTGTGGGCACCAGTGCAGGCAGTGACACAGTTGTAGTCAGCAGCATTTCCATTCTTTATTGACATCTGTATCTTGTGTGTGTGATATTGAAGAGTCCAGGCTGTAATGTTCTGACTATAAGCAAGAGGTTACAGCATTCAGGTTGTACTGCAAAGGCTTGGTGAGTATTTTGCAGATAACCAACAAGGCAAGAGGTTTTGTATTGAAAATACTGTGGCATTTTATAGCCCTCTGTTTCCTCCTGCTCACACAATGGTATAACCTAAAACAGCCTCAGGGCTTGAAGATGAAATTGTGATATGTTGCAGTGAGTCATAACAGTGTGTCCTTTGGGAGATGTATGTGCCTGTAACTGGTGCAGACTTAATTTGTTGCTGTTGCAGCTATCACTGAATCTCTGTAAATACCAAAATGATTAATCTGAGACCTGTTCTGGGTCAGCTGTTTGCACTGAAGCAGCAACATAGGATGAGTTTGCTACGTGGGAGAACCTTGAAGAACAGTCTTGCTTACTGTGGGAAATAAGCTGAAGGAAAGAACGATACTTGTGGGGAAGCCTCTTTTGCCATATGTCTTCTGATGCCATTGACCTTCTTCCCATCTAGTCTTATTAAGTAATGTTGAAAATGTCTTTGAACAGGCTGAGTTATTCGAATCAGAAGCTGGAAAATGTCAAGACTGAAATGGAGAAACAGATCTTGGAAAAGCAAATCAAAGAAGTGGAACGGGAAATAGAGGCAATTAAGTGAGAAGTTCTTCTTCATAAGTTCTTGAAGAAAATGCAAATCTGTTCTGGGAGGCTGACTTCTGTAGTTCCCTCCTTTCTTGGGTGCTTCTGGTTGTGACATTTGGAGAAGATTTTGTGCAAGCCAACACAAAAAAAGCTCTGAAGTGCTATTCAGATTTTACAGAGCTCTTATATCCGTAGCTGTTTGCTAAGAGTCATGCTTTGTGTGCTTACATGCAAATGCACCTAATGGCCAGGATAGAGATGCTGTTGGAAATAGTTCTTGTTTCAGTAGGAGAAGTGCTCTGAAAACCTTACTCATTCTGAGCTTTTGTGTGTTAACACATCTGGACTAATGTATTCTGATATTGCATTGAACTGTTTCCCCTGCTAAACCAACACCACCTTGCAGGGATCTGTTTTCCAATAGTACATTCATTATGTTCAAGTAAAACTACTTTAAGTCCAGTAAGGAAGAAACCTTGTTTGTGAGTGAGGTTAAAGAGCCTGGTGCTTTGAAGTAGTAAGTTTTGGTGGAAGTTAATGGCAGGTGAGAGGAATATGATGAAGAAAGATCAGGCTGAGAAAGTGACTGTTTGATTGATTAACTGTTTAATGTGGTGGTTTCTTTCTTTTTATATCTTCTGCTCTAGCCAACTTCCAGAAAGTGACTTGTTAGGAGGCAGGTTTGATGAGCATGACTGGGAGAAGATTTCAAACATTCATGTGAGTTGGGAAATCAGCTGTTGTATTACTTCTAACATCTGTCCCCTTTCTCATAAGAATTACCTGCTGTCATTTCCATCCACTGGTCCCCTCGTGCCCTTCTTTAAGTTGGCTGTTGTGTGATCTCAATATGGTAAGCATATAGGCACTTAAAATTTGATATCACTGCTTAAATCTGATGATTTAATTTTGGAAAAATCAGCAGTAAGACATGCATGGAACACAAACTGTATTACATGAAGCTGGGACAAACATCTGGGCAGAAATGAATGCTGACGCAAGACAAAATAGATTTTTCTCTCTATATATATTTTAGTTTGATGGACGGCGTAGTTCAGACGAACTGAAGAAGTTTTGGCAAAACTGGGAGCATCCGAGCATCAACAAAAATGAATGGACAGAGGAGGAAACAGAGAGACTGAAGGATATTGCTGCTAAGCATGGTTATTTGGACTGGCAGACTGTAGCCCAGGAACTGGGGGTAAGTAGTTCTGAGGTCAGAAACATGAGGTGGAAAGTCAGGTAATTCTGATGGTACCTCATCGAACAGTTAATATTAATCATTGTTAATTAATGCTTTTGTGAGGAGTATTCATGAACAATGCAAAAAGAACTGGAACTTTGCCCTCTAAATATCCTGCTATCTAAGCAGCTGTGTTTTCTTTCCATGAAGACAAACAGGACGGCTTTTCAGTGCTTGCAGAAATACCAAGCCTATAACAAAGACTTGAAAAGGAAAGAATGGACCAAAGATGAAGATAAGATGCTGTTAGAGCTTGTTCAAGAGATGAGAGTGGGAAGCCATATCCCTTACAAGAAAAGTAAGAGACCTACAAAGGGAATTGTTTTCCATTCACATATGATGGTTTCTTGATTTCCTGGGTTACATGTATTAATACTTCTGCATGCTGGAGCACCTGCCCTGCTCTTCTTGAGGGAATTACTGATGTTTTATTTGCTATGAGTGTTTCTATTTCCATGGTAGTTCCATGTTTTATACCTAGATGAGATGCAACAGTACTATGGCCCAGTATGTGTATGTATGTCAGTATGTATATGAGGTACGACAGTGCTGTGGTCCTGAATCATAGAATCACAAGGTTGGAAAGGACCTACAGGATCATCTAGGATGATCATCAGGATGCATGCACACACATTGCAGTACCTATACTGGTTTCTAGAAAAACTCTTTGTGAGCTCTCTCTGTGGGATTACAGTGTGAGTAGTGAGGACTGAAGGTTAAAGTAGTAACAAAGTGTTTTCTGGAGTCCTAAATCCCAGCCTTCATATAACAGCATTTGCTGCCTTGAATTTGTTGGGTGTGTATTAGAGCTGAAACGTTTCTTCCTGAGTTCTGTTGCTGTGTGTCTACGTTGGTAATGACATTATCAATAGCAGCAGTTCGTGTATGCTGTGCTCTTTCAGTTCTTGTTCTGTGCCATTGTCAAAGCATTAAAGCTGAGATTTAGATGCATCTGACGGCACTCTACTGTTTGTTTGGAAAGCTTACAGTTCCAAATGTTAGCAAGTGAAGAAATATTGCTTGCAGCAGGGTTTAAAATGCATCTTTCCATTTCTAGTTGCCTATTACATGGAAGGAAGAGATTCTGCCCAGCTGATTTATCGATGGACAAAGAGTGTGGATCCCAGTTTGAAGAAAGGGCCCTGGACACCGGAGGAGGATGCTGTGAGTTCTGCTCTCTAATTCCCTAGAATGATGGTGTGTGGAAGGTTAGATTTGCAGTGTTGCATGGTTATGTACATGTGAGCTTTAATGTTGCACAAAGGAATGTAGAATGGACTGAGGTGGTCAGTTTACAGGTTGGGAGGTCTTAACTCCCCAAAACCTTTGAACCAAGACTTATAATTCTGTGGAAACATACAGGTGCTTCTGTTTCAGGCTGGCTAGAAATATTACTGACAAAGACTTTTAACTCTTCCTTTCTGTGATTGACACAGATGCTGTTGGCTGCAGTTGAGAAGTATGGAGAGCGTGACTGGTATAAAATTCGGACAGAAGTACCAGGGAGGAGTGATGCTCAGTGCAGTGACAGGTAAATACAGAGCAGCTGAGCCATCTTCAGCATTGAACCCAGCTTCAGGAGACCAAATGCAGTATGTTCTGATTTCAGTGATCCATTTACACCACCTCATTACAGTTTTTAACCACGTGGTCTGATATTACTGAGATCAAAGAGGTGGTAACTGTGCTGTGTTACAGGAATAGTAATGGGTGCCTTAGAAAAGGGAAAGATCTGGTTGTGTTCAGCCTCAGATTATGGAGCACTGGTCAGAACCGTATAAATGAAGTGAAACAAGTTCCTTGTTTAAATGTTTTTTATTTGAAGGTACTTAAAAGCATTGCACCGTGATGTAAAGAAAGGCAAATGGAGTTTAAAGGAAGAAGAACAACTAATTGATCTGGTGCAGAAGCACGGCCTGGGTGAGTGTTCCTGTGGCTTAATGTTTAGCTCAGAAAAGTATTATTTACTGATTATTATTTGAGAGTCTTCCTCTTTTATTTTTAGCAGTGGCAGGCTCTGTTTCGTGCTGATGGTTTTGAGCTTCCTTACATGGAACAGCCTTTTCCTGAAAGTTCACTGATTAATGAGTTGTGTAGCAAAGGGCTGCAGAGCTGTGTTTGTCACAGCTCCACAGAGCTCACAGTCTGTGGAAGAGTTCTCTTACTTTCTCCAATACTATTTTTCAGCATTAGGTTTTAACCTTTTAGCCTCCATCTGAGCGTGCTGTTACTGCTGTGAGGAAGGAGGGATGTGATGCTGCCAGGGTTTTGGTCCCTGGTACCTTCGTTTTAGTTTCTGACATTGGCTGAGTGTATGATGGAGCAAAGTCCAAAGAAATCTTTGATAAATCAAAGACAAGGATTAGGATTTTATCATCCATTCGTATACATTTCCCTGTGTAAGAGTCAGTTACTGTGTGTATGGTGTTCTGCCCTGGAAAGGAAATCTCCTTTCCCATTCTCTTCTCTTTTACACTCTGAATGTCACAGCACTCCTCTCTTTGTGTATGATGAGCTTATCAGGGTGGGTGAGCAGTTCTCCTGCTGGATCTTCTTAGGTGCAATCTAAAGCAAGACAGACGTTTTCCCAACCTCACTAACAACTCTAAAATAGGAGAAGGCTCGTTAGGGAATGAACTACTCCAAACCTTTTTAGAGATGACGCTCTCTTATGTAAATGTCACACTTGCTCTGCCTCCATCAGACTGTATTACCTTTGCTTACAGATTGTGGTGCTACTGAAGCACAGAACTCTTGTTCAAGTGCTTTCATGTACTTATGTATAGATAAGTTCTACTGTGTTTCAGTAAAATGTAAATAAGATATTTCTTGAAGTGAGGTGTCTTAGATCCCATGAAAACACACAGCATTGCAACTCGATGCTGGTCTGAGGAAGTCCCACACTCTGTTAGTTAAGGAGGTGCAACATTTCTCTGAGTAACAGCAGGGAGGCTTCATGTGATTTAAACATCTTTTAAAAGGTAATAAAATCAGCCCTCCACTCCAACAAATAAATAAACCCATCTAACCAACCCTCGTTTTAATCTGAGTGCTGACATCTAACTGGTTTTGTGGAAGAGCAGTACTGTTCCTTCACCTTGTTGCATCAGTATGTATGCTCTACTCCTCTTCCTTTTTAGGTCACTGGAGTAAAATAGCTGCTGAGTTGCCACATCGGACTCGCTCCCAGTGCCTGAGCAAATGGAAAATCATGATTGGGTCGAGGGTATTGTACAGAACCCATCTCTTTAATTAAGATTCTCTAAGCTGAAAGTGAAATCCTATGAAATCAGTGCCACAGTTGCCCTCAATTTTGCATGGTATTTTGTCGAGGATGTTTGTGGTCTAATCAGTAATGTGTTAAAGCACCCTTTTTTTCCTGAAGGAATGAAGTTAAAAGTGTTATATATTTGTATGTTATCTATAATTTCCTTATTGCTTTGAAAGGCCCTTAAGGATGTTATGTAAGCATATACTTATGTTGAGCTGCCAGTTGTGGTACAAGCTACTCCATAAATTCTGGCTGCTTAAGATCACCTTCAAAGCACTGTCGTGGTTCCATTGGTGAAGCACGAGCAGGTGCTGCTGCACCATCCATTTTGAAACCACTTTTCTCTGATAGAATACTGCCTCATAAGACTCTTTGACTTACTGGTCTGAGAGATTTGCAAGTCAAGGGTGAGTGCTGACTGAAGCTTATCTGTGCTCTTTTTGGCTAAAAAGAAACGGTCCAGGTCAGTGAAACGTCAACATAGAGAGGAGAGTTCCAGCTGTTCAGAGAGCAGCAGTGAAGATGTAGAACTGGACTTATCAGACACTTCTGAGGAGGAGAAGACGAGTAAGGAGGAATGCACCTTCCCCAGCATTGATCTGTGGATCCCAACACAGGCAGATGTGCTGGAGTCGTGCCAAGGAAAGCACCAAAATTCATCTCCTTTCTCTTTTGGGAGTGCTAATGCAAGGACCAGCAGCAGTAAAATTCCAAATGCAAGGTGTGAAGGAGGTGAGGAAGGAGTTACTAATAAAGCAGCAGAGCTGAGCACCATCCTGAGGGGCTTGGCACGTCCCCATTCAACAGACATCACTGTGAAGAATCCCATAGAAGAAATTAACAAGGTGAGTCCTGGGTTTCTCTATCTGTTTTGGATGGAATTTGAGCTTAGATTAGAAACTGCCAGGGAGAGCATTTGCTGCAGTAAAGAGAGCAATTGATGAGATAAGTAGATGATGATTTTTCACACCTGTTAGCTGCTTTCTCACTGTACCATTGGGGGGTGCTGTTGGAAACTGAGCTGTGTGAATAAACAGAAATTCCTGGCACTGCCCCTCCCTGCCACATAATGCCTAGAAAATAACTCTTCTACCCACAATGTCACTGACACACAACTTTTTTCATATCTTCATAAAGCAGGATTGGCTGCTGAAATAACTCCCTTTGCTCCAATGACCAGGGTGTGTAGGTAATCCCAGTAACAGGACTGTTGAGAGCTTTTGCACCCTTTGAGAACAGCATCAGCACAAGTAACTTTCTATGGTATGCTTTCCCTTACACCTTCTTGTGAATTCTTTTTAAGGCTTCCAGGTGTGGGAAGCAAGTGCTGCGGGTTACCCTGGAGGATGTGAGAAGAGTGTTGAGAGAAAACACGTGCTTTCAGAGGAAACTTGTAAGTGCCTCTTTTGTCTCATCTGCTTTTGAGGTATGGGCACTGCCAAACTGTATTTCGTGGAAAGCAAACATAGAATCATAAATCTTATTTTACTGTTGTTCCAAGAGGAAAAGATCATAGGGCAGTCGTGACTTTGTTAGAACCTTCCTAATTGGAACTCTAATTATGTGTTTGTTCACAGCAATCGAAGCTCATCATGTCTTCTGCTGCCACTTTAACAAAGGCGTCTGGAGTTGGTGCATCTGTTGCTGAGAAGCACAGGGGGCTGTGGAACAGCGTGGGGAAAACTCGTTGTCAAGAGAGAGCACGTTGGAGGAAAATGAACCTTGACAGAAAACTCCTCATGGCAGTGACACCTTGGGTGGGCGACGTGCTGTTGCCTTGCACCCTGCGATCTGGGAAGATGCTTTTTGATCAAACAAAAGGTAGTGGTAACCCATCAGAGATAGTACTCCTTTATGTCCCTGTTTTCTGGCACCTTACAAGTGAATATTCAGCTGATTTTTTTGATGTTGGGCCTTTTTTTCTAGCTTATTCTATTCAACAGAAGCTCAAGTCTGTCAGTCTCTCCAGCACTCCTCTGTTCACACTTTTCATTCAGGTAGGTTTTTCTGTCTTAATGGCATTATCTGCTTTGAAGGAGTGGTAATCTTTGTACTTGATGATTAAAAACAATTACAAATGTTTCACTTAAATTAATCTAATTACTAGATTAATTTGTTCTCTTGGCTTGCATATTATATTTAGTAAACCCTGCATCCATTCTAATGCTGTCACAGTTTCCTGCAAGTGTGAATATGTACCCAGAGTGTTTCATGTGAAGCCTCTCCCATCTGCCTTGTCATGTTGCTGGCTCTACCAACACGTTCTTTTTCTGATCCAAATTGTAATGAAATGCTTATCTTGCAGCTCTTTCGGATTGACACCAATGGCTGCATGAAGATCATTCGGGAGAGAAGGGCAGATGCAGTCAGGCCTCAGCAGGTATTGTGCACCAACTATTTCTAAGCTTTTTCCACTGGAGTCTTGTCTAAAACAGAGGTTTTTCAATGAGTATGGTGAGTTGGTGTTGTTTGTGTGTTACCAGTTGATTTGGGATCAGAAGCACAGTAAAGTGCTGCCTGTGTGGCCATTTACATAGGATGCTGACAGATGATGCTTTGATTGACATCTGTGCTGTTTTAATGATCTTTATATGTCTCA